GGGAAAGTCCTCCTTTTATGTTACAATGGGTGGATTTTTCAGAAGCACTAGATTTTTGCCAGTTTGTAAGATTTTGGTTTCAGTTGCAATTGCAAACACTCAGTCCTGTCACAAAAACAGAAACTGCGTGTGTCAGAAAGATATATCACGTATCAAAATAATGCAGTAATAATGTACACTATAACAACATGTGAATCGCTAAACTTTTGAAGTATCCAGTAATAGCTAAACCTTGGCCTGTCACAATAAATACTAACAACTTATCATTGACAGATGGAACAATCGTTTTCCTAGTGGTAAGGGTGGACAGAGTAACTCAAACTTTTGTGTCATTTATAAAGGGCTATGAACTGTGTAGAACAAGAAATATTCCAGTCAGGCCAGATGGTTTCGTATTGTTCCACATTTAGGAGATTACATTCAATTTCATTCTATTTTTATAACAAAAGTTACCTTCACATTTATCCAAGGGTGCCAATGTCAACCGAAACCAGCGTAATAATACCCTAAACCAGCTTCTGAACCATCCAAAATGTATTTTAGTTCTGACTTGCTCATAGCACAGCATCTACTATTTCCATTTTCCCCCCAGTCTGTGATAAAACACATCTATGAAGCAGCTCAGTCGTGTGTCATCTCTGTGTGTAGCATATATTTACAAAAGATAAGAGTTTGCAGTGACAGAGGGTTTCCTATCACCGGTTTCATGCATGACGAGCTCAAGTGCAGATCTGATAGGGTCGGACAGGAAGCCAGAGATGCTTTTGCCAATCAATGTCTTCGGTAACACACACACGCACACACACACAGACTCTTCTACATACTGAGATAGCAGCATGAACGTGAAAAGAGATGATTTTGTGGCGTTAGTGCAGGTTTGCTTTATCAAAGTTGTCAGGCGAGCAGATCTGCAGAACAGGCAAACGTGGCTAGGGTTGAAAACAGCACCAATATGTCCTAACTGTGTGGAAGACTGTGAGAGCTTTCTAAAGAAAAACATTGACTAAAAAGTTGCTGATGTTACATATGGTTAAGCATTTGATATATAAAAGTCCTATACTATAACCCAAAACAGACTCTTGTGGGCTTTATGACATGTGTTAGAATGTTGTTATCTTATCAAAAACATACACAGAGTTGTTTTCAAAATGCTCTGTTCCAACTTGTGATGTCATGTAGTGGTAGTTTTGAAGTTAACCGCTACTTTTTACCTTTAGTTCAGGAGAGATTCGCAATTCCATGGCTGAAATATTTGAATGATTCTAGTGAAGGTGTATGAATTTTAAAAACACAGTGGAGCACTTTCTGGATTATTAAATGACATCACAATGTGAAACTGAGTGTTTTCTATTTGAGAGAAGAACTTGGCCTCAATATGTAGTTTGTTTGTTAAATATGCATGAATGAAACAAAACAGTTATGTTTCTGCTGAGGAAACAACATTATAACATAGATCAGAAAACAGTGTAATATGTGACCTTTATACTCGTTTTTAAACATTAAAAAGTTAAAAGTTGCTGTGCTAAGTATAATGTGCATTAAGCTAATTACAAATCTTAATATATAATAATTTCAGAGGCCTGGTGGCAGCAGCTTCCCTTTACTGCGTGCATGTTCTGAAAAGGGTTGCATAAAAAAAGAAACTGGTTTCACAGTTGATGCTAAAATAAATGCCAACATCTATATCACAATTTGCACAAACAGTTGCTGAAGTTAACTATTACATTACAATATTGTTTGTCTTTATTTACTGTAGTTGAGGTGTAAATGTGCTTGTTTACAATGTTAGAAAGTAAACTTTGGAGAATAAATGTGATCTTAGCTCAAGCGAGACTCCTAATGGAAGTAAAGTGCTTAACATTCAGAGGTGGTTTGGTGTTAATCTCCCAAACACAGGTTAGCGCATATGGTGCCTTATATAATATATTGAAGGATACATTTTCCATATGTTCTGAGCCAAATTTCACACTTGCTTGCACAGACAGATATCAAGGGAGTGAGTTAGCCAGCTGAGCCCTGTCTGAACTCTCTGTGAACTGTGGACACACCCAGTACTGAAGGGACCACACACCTGGGTCTGAAGAACAACCTGGGAAACCTAAACCGCGTACGTTTCATCTATAGCGTATTGACTTCGTTCACATATAACACATTAGGCTTTCTTTTGTTCAGCACTTGTACGTCCCTTTGAAATACAAATAGAAGCAGAATAAAATAGAAACAAATTATCTTTGCTGATTCCTACCTCAAGGGGTCCCCCTACCCCTGAATGGGAAACACTGCTTGCTTTACTAAATCACTTCAATTCTCAGGCTCATATAATCGTGATAAAGTCTGATTTACTGTATGTGGTTCTCAGCTCATAACATTTGACCTATCACTGGTCAAACACAGCGCTACAATGAAGTGTACTTAAACATTTATAACATGATGTATCATTATGAGTGAATACTTGATATACACTTTGGTCTTCTTATTCTCAAGTGGAGGATGCATCTGTTGCATGTTACTGTGACTTTGATTCCAGCTCAAGTCTGCGCTGGTGCCATTTCCCAGAGGAGGTTCTTCACTGTTCATTTGGTCCTTCATCTATATGCTACAGTCTGTATCCCTGTTCATTTGGTCTCTCATCTATATGCTACAGTATGTATCCCATGAGTATTTTTATGCCTCTAAACTCTGTCTGGCAATTTGCGTTGAGCCGGCACACTCTCTCCAGTTCAATTGAAAAAGAAATCAGTGCACAAAGGAGCGCTCCATGCTCCGAGGCAGCATTGTGTGCTTATGGAGGGGATCCTAAACAGTTTAAAAGCAGCTGGGAAGCCTCATATATTCACAGTCTGTCTGGTAAATATATATAAATGTTTTCAGTGAGCACTGCAGTCTCCAGTGAGCAGAGCTGACAATACGGTTCAGTGGTGCAGGAGGAGCCCGGGCGAGACGCTGGAGTCTGGGAAAACCAGGTTGATTGGGCGAACTGGGATTCAGAATACAGCACTTTGCAAGTATAAGTGTGGTGAAAGAAGGTCGCCAAGAGTGCAGATTTAAATAAAGGTAATAGCTGAAAGTGCAATATGTTTTCTGGTAGGGGTCTGCCACCTGCTTGTCTCCATGGAAATACTATTGCTTCATCTGGAATAGTCCACAGTACATCGTTAAAAGGCCTATATTATGCAAACTTATTTCTTGTAAGCTTTAAGCCATTTTAGAATGTTGTTAATTCATCAAAAATATACCCAGTGTTTTCACACATCTTTGAGTAATCCTATTATTATTAATCTGTCTACAAAGCTCAAAATGCCCTGTTCCACCTTGTGATGTCATGAAGCAGTAGTTTGCAAGTTAATCAGTATCTTTTACCTTTAGTGGAGTAGAGAGGCAATCCCAGGTCTGAATTTATCCAACTGATTCTAGTTTAAAAACGTAGTGGAGCATGTCCTGTATTACCACATGACATCACATGGTAGAACTGAATGCTTTCAGTTTGAATGAAGAAGTAAATATGCAGGGTTTGTGTGTTAAACATGTGTGAATGAAACTAGGTATGTTTTTGATGAGGAAACAACTTTATAATATAGATCAGACAGCAGCGTACAGCAAACAGCATAATATGGGTCCATGTGTTTATCTTGAAAAAGTATTCTATTTGTTAACTGGGTTGGTAATGTAGGCTGTATATAAGAATGGACACAGCTAACAAACTAGCCGTGGCGTTCCAATTAGGAAGTTTGCATGCGGGCTCTTCTGCCTCCTTCTTACCCTGGCTCCAATTGACTGCCATTGGGATCTTGTCGTCCCTCTCTATGTAATTGCTGTGGTAAGCCTCCTCATTTTGGTCTTAAAATGCTCCACATGATCCTGAATTTTTCATTTCGCTATTTTGTCCCTAAATCAAGATACATGAACATAACGGACTAATCAAAAGCCTTCATTCCACGAAGTCGCTCCTGCTAGCGTTAGCAACAGGTTTGATTGACAGCTAGTGCGTTTCGTTGTTAAGTAAGCCCGCTTTCTGGTGAAAAGGGTGGGCCCATTTAACAACCTCAATCATGATTGGTCTTGTGGTTGCTATGATACTCGTGATCGGATTTCCAAATATGGAGCCTGGCTCCAAATTCGCTCCTGTAACCATCCAGCTTCATTTGAGTGACGCTGAACGCTATGGGTGAAGTCATACTCGTTTAGTCCACTTCTTTTATACAGTCTATGGTTGGAAATAATAATTAGAAAAATATTATCAAATATTTTACTTTTTACCTATTTGTAGAGCAGTCAATTTAAATGAAGAATTACTCATAGCATTTGAAAACACCCAGCTCAGCGGTGTTAGGCTACACAAACTTTTCAAAATGGTCATGCCTTTCACACAGCTTCATTTAACTGGAGCAAAGAGTTAAAATATTTGCTTTTCCAGTTTTCTAGAGTGAGTCTGTGTGAACAAGGGAGCAGCATCGTCACCAATAACACCACCATCTGTTGGAGCAGAGATGTCTCCACACCTTCCTCCGCTGTGTCCTCCACTGACTCTGTTTATCTAACTCTCCATGGAACAGTATAAGATCTTGTGTTCACATCTTCACTGTAAGGCCCACACTCAAACACATTATAAGATCTTCTATGTTTAATGTGGACTTTTATATCTTCTCCCACAGACTCATGGGGCTTGGTTTGAGCTTGGCACAATGAAAAAAGGAAAAAATAGAGGAAAAAACTACAAGGAAAGTCCTTCCGGCAATATGTTTTGATGATACATGTAAGAAGACCTTTATGGACGTTGACTAAGTAAAACTATGTCAATATGTGGTAAAAGGTACTAGACTACAACATTTAGTTTCCTTCTAATATAAAGCCAAAATCATAATTCGAAACATGACCAGTCAACATAAAAATATTGGTCACATTCATTACGTTACATTAGAGTATGTTCAGGTCACGCTAGGAGAAGGATTCAACTGCACAGACAAGAAACAAGCAGGCCAATATTAGACATGTGTACTCACTCATTTTAGATCAGCGATGAAATAAACTGCCCCCTCCACGGCTGACTTGCTCTGACCAGTTCTCTAGAAAAATGAGACAAAAATCTAATCAAGATAGGAGCATAGTGATATGCACATGTAGAGAGAATAAACACTAGATACCGTAAATAACTGCACAGTATATAAAAATCTGTTTTCTTGTTGATTTAACCATTTTTTTTTTACTATGTACATCAAAAATATCTGACCATTATCTGATGTCAGGAGTTGTCAGATTATTGAAATGTCATTTTACATATGAGTAACATCCAGGAATCATAATGAACTAATGCATTAACTCATGTACCAGGAAAGTGTGGTTTATTTCTGAATGTTCATACCTGTGCAGGTTTTGACCATAGACTGTATATATAAATGGACATAGCTAATTTGCAAGCAGAGGTGCTTGCGGCTCCATCGAAAAGTGGAATAGTGTCACCCCTCTCTGTGTAACTGCTGCTGTGAGCCTCGTCATTTTGGTTTTAAAATGTTAGATTTAACCCACTTTACATTTTCCTGGTCTTTTTATTTTACTATTTCGTGTGTAAATAAATTCCTATCCTAATGAGAACCTGGCTCTAAATTCCCTCCTATAACTGCCGACCTTGTGAGCTTCATTTGACTGGAGCTGAACGCTATGGATGACATCACTCTCTGTTTGTCCACTTCTTTACACTTCTCTTTGGTTTTAACAAAAATAAATAAATAAATAAATAATTAAAGGGGCAAATCTTCCAAACACAATTAAGGTACATACAATTTCAGATCTAATTATCGAATTATTCTTGTTGTCCAATTTTTACTGTTAAATGTACCCACTGACTGCTGACGATTCTGGCGGTGTATATTTCAGTGACTCAGAGTATTAAAGTATGCGTGTGTATGGAGAATGGGGCTTGTACAGTGCACACACCTGTCCACAAAGACCCGTTGTTAGTGAAGTGTCGTGTGTGTAATCTGAACTGTTGTATACACAGGGAGTGGGTGCAGACATCAGCAGTGTGTGAACATTAAGCTCCTGTGAGGGTTCGATTTCAGACTGATAAATCCCCCTGTCAAAGCATCACAACAGGACCAGACAGACAGCCATATGTGCTCCTCTATATGTGATGTACTATAGTGTGAGAACAGGATTTACATTACACTGCTCCTAAGGTGTTGATGTTTTGATATGTGACTTATGAACCTTTGTAATGCACTCAACATAGAAAGACTTCGGTTGGAGAATGAGGGTTGGGTGGGTGCTTTTCATAGAGCTTGGGAACCTGTGTTGGAACATCTCCTGGGAAGCTTAATGGGTGCAATGGGTTTAATGTTTTGTCATGTTGACACACACAAACACACATGTTTGTTGTTGACACACAATGTGGTTGGCAATAATTTTTATTCTGATAACAATATTCAGGCCATACTATGTTGATTTTTAATAAACAATACACTCGATGTTAGAGAAATTCCATTTTGGTGCTGTATCTCGTAGGAATGTAACAATAACCGAAATACCGTAATTGTATCATCAAATGTCTCACAATAATATCGTGGGTTATCACAATATATCGAATCACAAGTTCCTTTGCTTAAATGTATTGTTTTATAGTAGTATAGTAGTAACACCTTAAAAACATATGCACTACATATCCCATGATTCATTTCAGTGCAGACAACATGAAGAAATATGTTTTTTTACTTGAATTCTTGGGATTATGATGGTAATAATTCACACCAAAATCTTGTCAAGGTAAGTCAAGGTATCAAAGTGTCCCATATACAATTATATTAGCCTCTTCAAAATATCGCAATAAATATCTTACTATGAGATGCACATCGTGATAATATCGTACCGTGAGATTTGGATATCGTTACATCAATAGTACCTAGGGCACTTACTGTCAGTTCAGTCCTTGTTATCTTGGCCTACATCATCAGAGGTATAATACTCCCTACAACAGAAGCATATGCAGACTGGACTGTACTAGACTGGACAATACTATCACAATGTCTTGAGGGTTCATGTACTGATGGTAAATAAACTTCTGTGTTACTCCAGCGTCATGCCTCTTCTCTTCAACTCTTGGAATACAACAATTACGTAATTCTACAGCACAACTGTTTAATGTATTCAGTGTATTACAACATACACTATCGGTTTGATATTTTGATAAACATCTCACCCAAACTTTGCATTTGCCTTGATCTAGAAGTATATGTTTGTCTTTTTTGAGTATCTGCAATTGTGTCAAAACGCGCCAATCATTTTTTTTCACGGCTTAACAAAAATACTATATAAATATAATGTCTAGTTGAAGTTACGGACAAGACCTGCAGTCCAAATCTGGTCGTGTTACTTTTTTCTAAAATACTGAATTGACTATTTTGTCTTAATGCTGACATAAGACCTCAGCTCCAGTGTAAAGGCTCACCATGGAGACATAACACAAACCCAGAGTCCACTTCAAATCTGTTCCTCCAGTTTTATGACAGTTGTGGCGTATCGAGTTACATGGGTTATAGTCTGTTTGATTTGAGGTTTCTGTAATGGGAAATGTCAGAACAGTCAGACAATCAACAATATGACAGAAAGGGTAGGCAAACTTATGATCTCTGCTGAAATAGTGCATGAAAGAAATGCACATACAAATCAAATTAGTGGGGTGGTCCTGTAAAGTAATTCGTTTTTGTCTGCAGACCTAAAACGAATCTGTAAAATAGACAGAAAAAAGATAAAACATTAAAATCATCACAGATTCCAAAATGTTCAATCCTCATGGTTCTGTGGTTTTATTTGTAAAGTATATGGGTTTGGTTGAGGCTAGAGTAGGCCATAGCATGTAAATAGTCTATGTCATGGGTTGATTTCAAATTGGCTGAATATATATATATTTTAATATCGCATTTTCAACTTCATACAGGTCTAAATGAGGCTACTCTTAACATCACTGAACATCAGTAGGACATCAAGACTAAACCAGGACTAAACCAGGTCTAAACCAGATCTAAACCAGGACTAGACCAGGACTAAGAGACTTGGACTAGAGAGAGAGGGAGAACCCCGAGCCCATGTAGCAGGGTGTCCACAAAGCGTAATTGGGTGATGGCTGCGCTTAGCCCCCTGACGCATGGAGATCTGCACCAGTCCTTTCACCTGCGGTCACACAACCATCTACGCGGGCGCACCTCCGGGCTTGTACCAACACTCAGTCCTGGTTCAGTCCTGGTTTAGTCCTCATGTGCCGCACCTCCCCAATGGCTCTTTGGCGTCTCGCAGGGGAGATGGGCCTCACCTATTGAAAACCGCTGGTCTGTGTAATGACTATGGTATTTAATATTAAAGAGGGCATATTAATATGGGTTAATAATTGGATTGCTATGTTATATTTTACTTTTTTGAAAAATGCTATATTCATCAAAACCATCATATTAAAAATTTGATTAGTTTCATAGTTTCATGCTCTGACAATTGGCACTCATTCCGCTAATGAAACTACAGCACATTGCATCAGGTTTGTGAAGTTGTAGTATTTTGCACCGTAACGTAGGCTTGTGGGCTGAGCCTTGTACAAAAGAGACATATTTATAACAAACACACAGTCATTCATCTTAACAACGTTATTAAAAACAATGACGCTATTTGACTTCTTCAATGCTGCAGGGGTAAGCTATCAGGAGCTGTGTGGGACTACCTACCGGACAGATTAACCTATCCTAACCTACAGCCTATGTCAAATGCCATTACTTTATGTATTGAATGATATGCAAAATACACAAATACAACATAAAGAATATTAACTTCTGAATGACAGAGGAAAGACCTTGTCAACACTTTCCTGACAAGTGTCCATAAATCACATAAAACATACATCACCTCTCTGTGCTGTTCAGCCTGTGCAGTGTGAGCCAGCCTCCCTTATGTTCCCATGTTTTACAGCCTGTTCAGTCATATTCACAGGTGGCTCCAAGACTTCTCCCAACAATCTCTACAGCACACAGACGTAGCCACGAGGCAAAACCATAAATCACTCAGACTTTCTCCAAATTATAATATTTATTACACGAGCGAGTGCGTGTTTATTCTGGAGCTGGAGGAATGACGGTTTCCATCACCAATCATCCCCTAATGGTTAAGTGCCACGCCAGACGAGCTTTGACAAGTGATAATTAAAGAAGCTCAGAGAGGGAGGGGCGCCAGGGGGAGACATACAGAGTATGGACAGGGAAGAGGTGGCTCCACAGTCAACTGGGAATGATAGTAAGAGGCTGGCAGTAACTAACTGGTCATTATGCAGATTGGACTCCACCTCTGGGCCATAGTAGCCTTGTTGAAGGTCCCATATTACGCAAAATGGACTCTTGTGAGCTTTAAGCCATGTTATAATGTTGATACCTCCTCAAAAACATAGACAATAGATATAATAAACATTCAATAGAGATCAGAAATTCCAGGGTTGAAATTATCCAAATGAAGGTATATGTTTAAAGTTTAAAAACACAGTGGAGCGTTTCCTGTATTACCACATGACATTACAAGGTGGAGTTTTTTGAGAGTGTTGAGATAACTCAGCTCAGCCTAAATATGCAGGGTTTGTGTGTTAAAGATATGCAAATGAAACAAAACACAGCTCCAGGTAGGATTGTGAAGAAACTACATTATAACATAAATATAAAATAGCATAATACTAACCCTTTAAGATTTGGGAAGATGAAAGTTGGTGTAGTGAAGGAACAGAAATTTAACTTGGCTCATACCAATGTGGAAATGTGAGTGGTAGTTAGGCCACAATAACAAATTTTAAAGTACGATATATTGCTGAAGAAAATATCGACGATAAACAATAATATTTTAAATTCATTTATGCCACTGACACAATAACCCTAAAGAAAGATTATCCCCCAAAAAACTTTTCAAAATGCATGATATTGTTAAGAAACTCAAACTGCAATAGCAAAATTAAAACTTGAGTTCTTATGTTCTCAAAGCACATATATGACATCAATAACTTCTAATATCTTGTTTTGCGTGAGCCATATTTCTGGGTTACAATTAGTGC